TTAGCTCTCATGCGGTCCAGTATGCGTCCATTGTGTTAACAACCTGACAGTCATGACACCATAGCTCCTTAAATATTCGTACGCACGAATATGGCGACGCAAAAGTCGAAAACTTGCGTGTTGAACAAATGCTCAAATACTCAAAACTCAGAAACAGTATTTATTTTGGCGATGATATGACTATTATCACTACTTATAATCTATTTGTCTTCAGTTAATTTTCAGTTCATTCAGGTATCTAAAATGATCGCATGTACCTCCTTTTTTCCGCTCCTGTTTTCATCACCAATATTTTATAATATTTATCAAAATAATGTTGGAGCGGTGTGTCTGAGTGGTTGACTATCACTCGCTCTCGCAGTGCTATTCAATTTATCATTAAATTCAATTGATCATTCATAGATGACATTAAGTCCAAAAGAAAGAAATCGCTTGGTCTTAACAGCAATTATACCGCGCAACTCAGAACATTAACTCAATATTGGTGGCAACAGACGTACCCTGATCTGATTTATTAGTAAAGGTAAAATTCTTGCCAGAGGACTTTTAAATGGGAAATGATCGCTTTTACATTTAAAAAAGTATTATTTGACTTGATTTGACTGTCTTAGTTTTTAATATATAATGTTCCGCAGTTATTATTAAAGATATTGCTATTTCATTATTCAGTTGATTTTTAAAATCAAACAGGTTGTTTTACTTTCTTGGACTTCAATTTGCAAATCTTTTGAAACTTTTGGACTAATTTCGAGTGTTTTTATTCTGATTATTAACAGTATCACAAATATAGTTTTATATGCAAACAATGTCATTTTGTTCCTGAACTGTGTTCTTTATGCGACGCTCACGTGTAAGATGGAGACCAAGTGTGTCTTGAAGTCTTATTTGCACCTACATGTGCATCATATAGCTCCCTCAGAAAAGAAGGTGAATAAATAGCTTTTGGCTGTGCCTTTTATATTTAACGCTTTAGCACGTCGACGTAATCTAATGGACGCATAAATGCATTCAGTCTTTCTTCAGAAGATTCAGCGCAAACCGTGCGCAAAACGTTCATCGACAGTTAGTAGTTTTCACTCTTAAGAAACGAAAAAGTGTTTACAACTGCGAAATATTGACGCTGGAGTTGTAGGTCAGATTTGTATTTGTTTACAGATTACTAACGGAACAGAACTGCAAATAGAATAGCAATGTAGCTCTAGCATGCAGTTGTGGCTGTTCATATAAACTTTACACCTAACATAACGAGGAAAGAACGTCTTATGTTAGATAGCAAGCTTACCTCTACTTGTTGAAGTAGCCTATGTTTAGTTTCGAGGTTGGCATGGTGATTTATTTCGTTCTTGAAAGGCGGGAAGCTAGTCAGATGTAAGCTGCTTAGCTCAACGTGGACTCGTTATGGAGCTTTACAAGTGGGCAGGAAGTTTGACAATAAGACCAATAAGGCATTTCCTGGGTACAGTAGCTGCCACGAGGCAGCAGCTCGCCAAAGGGGAAATGGCTGCAGAAGCACGACTGCGCTCTGTGGACTCACATGGACTTTCAATCAGGACGGTCTGAAATATAGAGAACAGGGATTCCGTTTATCGTTTGCCATCTGAATTGAGGGAGATCCAGCGGTCTTATTTGTGTCTGTTGCAGGCTGGCTGCTTTGCCCTCAGGCTGTATCCCTCTCTTCATTGTGTTTGGCTGTGATGACAGAAGCAGACCAGAGGCCTTGAACTTGGACGGTTTGTTTAAGGAGGGACTGCGTCTATCGCTGCCGCCTGAACAAGCCCTTCAGGGAGGGCCAGGCTCGTCACTTTAAACTTGGCCTTGACCTTGAAGGCCCCGCCTGACCTGTAAAAGACGACCGTCTGGATCTGTGCGTGTATGTGTGAGGGGGGGAGAGAAAAACTAGTGCTATGAGGAATAAGGATTGGAGGGGGAGGGTTCCTGCTCATCCCTTTTAAAAATGTTTCAAGCGTCAGTCTGACTCAAGGTAGAGGCTTGTTTTAAACATAAACCGCTGTTTTGATGAAATCCTTTAATACACAAACAACAAATAGAGAGAGCTTACATTTAAAACACGCTGATTATTGACGCTAATTTAATTCACACGTCTATAGCGCAATGGTGGCGATGCTTACACTGTTAGAAATAAAGGTGATGTGCAGGTACATTTTTCATTGATCAAGGTACAAACAATGTAAATGTACCCTCAAATGTACAACAGTGGTTTTAAGGCCCAATTGTGTACCTTATATAAGTTTTTTCTAGGTAAAAAAGTACATATTTGTACCTTTTCATAACCTAATGCTTCAAAACAGAACAATAAAATTAAAGGCCTAGAGACGAGATGGGTTGTATGGAGTCAATACAACAGAAAATATAATTTCAATGGATTATGGTACAATTATGTTCCTTGACTAAAGGTACCAAGATGTACCCTTGAGTGCACCACCCCAGTGACAGTTTCGTACCTTTATTTCTGAGAGCGTATAATGTGATCTTATGGAGATGATGATTATTCCCATAAGCACATTCACTGGCCGAAAAAGGTACTGTAGAGGAACATTTTTGTTCATCAAGGTATAAGCAATGTAAATGTACCGTCAAAGGTACGACACTGGTCTTAAGGTCCAACTATGCAGCCTACGTTAAATGTTTTTGTTTCCTCAGGGGAAAGAGGCATATGTGTACCTTTTGATAACCTACTGGTTTAAAACAGAAAAATAAAAGGCTTATAGTCACGACAAGGTGTATACACTCTCAGAAGAAAAGGTACTGTCACTCTTGTCACTGGGGTGGTACCCTCAAGGGTACGTCTTCATAAGGCTTTAGTTAGGGAACATAATTGTACTGCAATTATATATTTTAAGTTGTATTGACTCCACACACCAATCCTGTCTCTAGCCTTTTTATTTTAGTGTTCTGTTTTAAAACATTAGGTCATGAAAAGGCATAAATATGTATATAACGTATTTAAGTGACACACTTGGAATTTAAAATCAGTGTTGCACCTTTGAGGGTACATTTGCGTTGTTTTTACCTTGATGAATAAAGCATGTACCTGCACGGTATCTTTTATTCTGACTGAATATAACTGCAATGGAATATTATGCAATACGTTCACTAATTAAGGGTAATCTTGAGGGTACCATCCCAGTGACGCGGGGGGAGCCACATCAGTGACAGTTTAGTACTCTTTTTTCTTATAGTGCAGTCTTAAAAATGAAGCTCCCAAGATGGGTTTTTTGAAGCTTTTCCATAGAAGATCCCGTTTTGGTTCCCTGAAGAACCTTTCAGTGCGTGGTTTCAATTAGGAAGGTTCTTTACTCACCTCAACGCGTTTTTCCCCTGATATTGCTCCAAATAGCCCTTTGGCACCTTTATTTTTAAGACTGTACTATCATAAGAAATATGGATAACCATGATTTTGTCGACCATAACATAACAGCTTTAGCTCTTTTTTTCAGTAGTTTATTTCACACCGGCGAATGTTTTGGCATAAGCTACAGAAATATCGCCGCGCGTCATGAGTGAGAAAAAAAAGGAAAACGGATTTAGGTGCAGTACATTTGCATAGGTCGTGTATGAAACCGCAACTTGTCTATGCATAAACAATGTACATCATGCGAAATGTAAATAGTGCACTTGGAAAAAAAAACACGGATTTAGTCTGGAAATACCTCTTGTTCTAAATAGGAGTCGTACAATATTCGTGTAAAAATAATGATAGTCGTACGGGGGAATGGTGCGCTCGTTTGAACGCTCGTTTAAATGTTTGATATAAACAGGTTAAGCATATACGTCTTGATCGCTTGAGACATTCAAGTATGAAATATCTGTGGCAATCGCTGGGGTAGGTTTGAGCACGAAGGTTGGCCACTGCTGTACACCAGCCCTTGAGCTTTCAGACGTGCATATGCGATTTTAATATGTATAAAAAAGAAGGCTTTTTACGCGTCATTGCGCCGTGGAGACCATCAGAAAATAATTTCCATAAAGCTTCATTTTAAGCTTTATTTTAAGGGTTTGGTTAAAGAGTGGTTTGATGTAAGTGAGTGTGACATTTTTAAGCCTGTATATGTGAAATAGCAAGTTATAAATTAAAAAAAAATGTTTATGGCGATGATAAATCAATTATGCGTTTGGCACTACCAATTATACATACCATTTATACATATCATACCAGTTGTGAGGTGTTCAGAGTAGATTTTGTCCAATGCATACTTAACGTATTAAATATATTATTGTATGTATAATATGCGCGTTAACATATGCATATTAAATATATTTGGGTATATTTTTATATTACATAGAATTTTATATTCTATGATTTATTGATGTTGCTTTATTTGTATTTTCTGAGGACTGACGGGTACCCTATAGACCTGCTTATTTTGCAGGATATCCTCCTGCATTTTATGTGGTATATTCATTTTGGGACATTAAAATGCAGGTGACGCATGTTCTGGTAGAAAAACTTGATCGCTGGCAAATCTATACAGATTTCAAAAGGGCGAAACGTGGTTTTCACAGTATTCACGTCTTCATATCGTGCCTTTTTAAATGATCTGTTCATGCAAGAATACTTCACAATACCATAGTTAGAGTGCAGGTCATATCTGATTAATGCGTCCTAAAATAAGGCAGCATTTGCACATTTACGGTAATCATTTTCATTTCGCGTCATAATATAGGCAAAAAAGGATCATGTGTATATTTTAATTGATATTTCTTTGTGGACACCGCTCCATTAGAACGCCAATTAAGACAATGAAATCACTGAAGAACACAGAGAAAAACTCTACAGCCGTCTTTTAATATGCAAAAGGATAGACGTGCAGCAGAGGTGAGATGCAGATGCGCACCTCCACCTCCATTTCGGTGAGACCGAACAGCAGCCGGACAAAAAATTGAACTGAAGTTCCTTCATCGGGGTCAGTTTTGCGCATCACGTGACCTGCCTTTCATCCAATGAACGCTCGCCGATCCAGACTTTACTCCATTGCGTCAATGCAGCTGTGTCGATGTAACAGTGTGTCCTGCTCCGTGCTCAGGTCTTTGCAAGATAATTCTCCGTCTGAATGGTGAGCGTGCTATGACCACCTCTCTGGTGTTGAATCCTCGCTGGGCGGATACAGTAATGTTTGTGTATGAAAACAACTTGGATGAGCTGAACAAGAACATGGAAGGTCTGGTTGGTAGCGGCAATTTCGCGGCCAACCAGTGCAGGAATCTGATGGCCCACTCGGCACTGAGTGCTCACCCGTCCAGCCTCGTGCATGGCTCCAGCTATTCCACCGTGGACGTATCGACTTCGAGTTCGTCCGAAGCAAGCAAGCAGTGCACTCCATGCCCGACTGTTCCCCAAGCCTCATCCACCGGGGCTATTCCTTATGGCTACTTTGGCAACAGCTACTATCCCTGCAGAATGGGGCGGGGTTCGCTCAAGTCTTGCACCCAAGCGAGCGCGCTCAGCTATTCTGCAGAGAAATATATGGACACCGCGGTCGCGTCTGAAGAATACCCCAGCAGGGCCAAAGAGTTCGCCTTCTACCACGGCTATCCCAGTCCATATCAGTCTATGGCCAGTTATTTGGACGTGTCGGTGGTCCAGACGCTGGGAACGGGGGAGCCTCGGCACGATAGTCTCCTGCCGATGGACAGTTACCAACCCTGGGCTCTGGCTAACGGATGGGGAGGTCAGATGTACTGCTCCAAGGACCAGAGCCAAGCGGGCCATCTGTGGAAATCTGCGTTAGCAGGTATGTACAACCTCTTGTACGCTCCAGCTTAAATTAAACATTTTGTCAAAATCACAGTAAATCATGTAGTTACCTTAATCTCAAAATGATAAGGCAGTAGAGCTTGACTCGGTATGCATTTTGTGTGAAGCAGCAGTGAACAGTTTTCTATTTTCTTGCACTAGAAGGCAAAAACAGATTCGACGAATGTGTCACCAATTAACGTAGACTGTTAAGATGTGTCCTGGGTTGTGGAATTGATAGACATCTAGCAAGACAATCAATAATAACCCTGTTTGTTATTCGTTCCAGATGTTGTGGCCCACCAACATGACGGGGGCTCTTTCCGCCGAGGTAGAAAGAAAAGGATACCGTACACCAAAGTACAGCTAAAGGAACTGGAGAAAGAGTACGCAGCCAACAAATTCATCACGAAAGACAAGAGGAGAAAGATTTCTGCGGTAACCAACTTGTCCGAAAGGCAGATCACAATTTGGTTTCAGAACAGGAGGGTAAAGGAAAAGAAATTTATCGCCAAAGTTAAGAGCAGCGCGCCATAGCGCTGATTTGAGCAACCAGACTTTTTTTTTGCTCTGTGACTTCAGATTGAAGAAAAACAAAATGTCGACTTGATTTTTTTTATAAACTGGGCTTCTTTGTGCTCTCTTGCTTGCATATTTGCATTGCGAACGCATAAATGGATGGACTAAGATAAAACAACAAGAAAAATAAGAGTGAATAAGGACTATATTCATGTAAATATGCCTGCCTAAATGTAACGTCATGTTTGCTTGAAGCCCTTTTAGTTGTGTTTTTATATACATTTTACGTATAGATTAATTGTTAGGCATGCCAGTGTTGTTACTGCAGTAGGGTTATAGCTTATTACACTATGCCCATCAATATTCCTTATAACTGTTATGTCGCTTGTAAGACAGTATGAAAAAAAATCTATATAGAGAAATGCTTAATAAATGTTTAACTCTCACAGACCTATAGGGTTTGTAAATTACATAAGTGAATTTATATTGATTTTTTCCTTCGTGATCGCATGCTGAGTTAATACAACTAACATTTTTCAAGAGAAATTTGTTTGTCCTTTTCATCGACCTCTGAAGCCTATCAACGTTGATAGACTTGTGTTTTGTTCCAGACCTACAAGCTTGTGTTGAATACATTGAAATCAGGTGTATGTTTGGCTACATCCTATTAATCTGTTGAAATAACTGACTGCCTTAATTCATTTCTGAATAGTTACGCCAGGTGTTGTCCGTAAATGTAGCATTTATATGCATGTTAATTTCAATCAAATTAGAATGTTATTGGTGCCTATACAATCCTTCAAGTCTAAACAAAGAAGCCTCCTATACTTTTGCGTAAATTGTGTTCTATTATTATTTTTTTATTTTTAGTATTTTTTATTTTTATGCAATTTTCTCATGACAATCTTTACGAAAGTCTTCTTTTTAAAACATTTTCTTTGAATATATATTCAGCTCATTTGGACCACACGATTCATTGGAAAACTGTATTAACGTATCCTGACTGCTTTTCAATGGGAAAATAAAAGATGAGCGCCCATGCTCAAAACGCAGGATCTGAAATGTTCCTCATCCCTGTCGGACTGTTGGGGGTGGGGCGTGGGGTATTTTCCTCTTGAGTTGGGGGGAAGGAGCGCGCGACTTGTAGACAGACCCACTAAATCAGCCCTTAACCTTGACCTTGAAAGTCACGTGCTCTTCAGATAAGCAATGGCTTTTTCTCTTTCAGGAGCCCATGAATATCTAAGCATTGCTCTAAAACTCAGCGTAGGTTACGGTCTGTGTTCGACCTCCACTGTCCGTTATTTGCCTGAGGGCTGTTCTTGTTGGGATGCAATTATCCTTCATTTCTCTTTCGCCAAATGAAATGCTGTTAATTCCTTCTGCGGTTGCAGCAGGTCCTATCATTCAAAAAGCACCTTCTACTTCCTGCCTGCCGAGAGCACTTTATGGTGCCTTAAACCTTGAGCTGAAAGACATAAATATCCTCCTTTTGCGTATCTCATTCAGGTAAACAGATTTACGCACACTGATCCACTTTATAATCTCCCCCAGGCGTAATTTACGTTCCTGTCCGAGTTCGAGCAGTTTAACTGTGTGACAGTTAGCAGGGTCACGACGTGCTGCCTTTGCAACTCTCTTCTTTACGCCGGCCTGGATTAGTGGGGATGTAAAAGGTCCGTCATTACTCATCATCACCTTCGTCACCCTGATCCACATATTTGATATCTTTACTCTGATTATGTCCAACGCATGTTCTCACATGTTAACATCCCTGTCTCGCGTAGCAGACCGTTTCAATTCATAGGCTTATTGCATATTAAACGTATCATTCAGTAATTATATAGAAAACGATGCAAGCTGTCTGATTCATTCTATAGGAGTTAGGGGTGTAAGCCTGGACCTGCCGGCGGGACCTGGGCCTGTTCAAGCAGTCCAGCGACATTGTGACCCTGATGGCAATCCTGGAGATGATAAAAAGATAAGAACAACAATGTAAAGCCTGTGCTTCTTATAAGGTCGTTTGGATGTATGTAAAGAAAATTAACCAGACATAAACAATATCCCAGACCCAGATTAAAGCTAAATGAAACACCGCTGGCATTACAGTTTATTCCAGGACTAAGCTTAATCCAAACAACGTATCCAATATTCTTCGCCATTTTTCTCATAAATTGTGCAACATGAGACCTAAGCAGTCGCCAGGGCTTTTATACCATTTTATCCCAGTTTCAGCTCCCTTTTCGTTGCCTTGACTTCCAGTCACATCAATGGTAAACTGTACTGACAAACTTGGGAATGCTGAAAGGGAAAAACTGAAAGAACACTGATAGTATGAGCTGATTCTTCCTGAAGTTGAGATAAAAATGCATCAGTTTGGCACAGGATCTTTCATCTTTCGTGTCTTAAACCAAGCGTCTGTTTACAGGCATTGAAATATTTCGCAAAACAGAAACACTATTTGAAAACAACAATACTACCACTACTGCTAGTAACATCAACAACAACAACAACAACCCTACTCCTACTACAATAATGATAATAATAATAATAAAATAAAGTACGTCGACATTACCATCGTTTGTGTGTTTTTGAAACTTTGCCTGGCCTATTTGGTTCGCCTGTTTGGTTGCCTGGCCTGTTTGGGTCAAATTTCCCTTTTTCCTCAATATACTCAGGCCTAGCAACTCTCAGGGTTTTCACCACACAAAGCCACGAATGTCGACGTGATTTCACTCACAGTCCGGCGACAGAATGGCCAATAAAGTGCTCAGGCCTTTCCTTCCACTTCTAGTTAACATTGAACTTGACAAAAGCATTCTAACAAACGGTGCGCCTGCTTGATGTTTACACTGTGATTTAACTGTGGTTCCTCTCCCTTTGCAAATTCACGATGCTCAAACAGCCACAGAAATCTGCGGACAGCAGCAGTAAAGCCGTCTTTACTGAAAAGCTGGATTTCCCAGACAGCTTTTCAGTGCTGCATGACCAAGTTTTACATATGTTTCTGCCATCGATGAAATTGGTTACATGGATTAACTTAAAGGGAAAGCTATAGTTAGACCTTTTGTTGACGTTGAAAGTCTTCCTTTAGCTAATGATTGACTTATACTACAACGTGACTGCAACGACCATGTATATCTAACTAGGGTGTTACTGCATTCTTTTTGAGACGCTAGTACTGCGGCATTTATTTGAGCGACTTTAGAAGCCTTAGCTTAGTCCTTGGCCAAACTGTTGGTTTTCTTATCTGCCGCCTCTATAAATAAGTTGCGGTAAAAGTAATTCAAAACATAGGACATAGGGTTTCTGTTTTAATCATGGGTTTAGGCTATTTAATTACCGTGTCTTGTCCTGGAAGGCCATCATCAAGTTGTCTTTATCTGGATTTTTCCGATCAAGTATTTTTTAGAAGAAACTATAGTTTCTTCTAAAAGTTTCTACATATAAAACTGGTTAAAACCTTCCATACACAAAAAAGCTAATGAGCTAATGAATACATCCCTGCTGTTGGGTAAAGCAAGCACTAAGATTTTTATAAGAGCTTGCTTCAGATACTTTTGATTTAATGAATTATGGAACCACAGTCAAGCTTGGAAACATAAGACTGTAACTGAAGCCAAATAAAATGTATTAGGCCAATGTTACATTATCATTATGACTGACCAGAGCTTAAGTAGAATGTTGGTCAGGTTTTCATGGATCAATAACAAAAAATATATGGAGTCGGGGATCTTATCGAGCTGGACGCATTTTTTTTTGGCGATCATGTCATTTGTTTTCTTAAATTAATATTTTATGTTTAGAGAATATTTAATGTTAACGTTCTGAATTGTGAACATTTAACGCATAAAATAATTGTGTTCACTTTGCTGGAGTTTTAGCCAGTGTTATAAAATAAAAACATCTGTGAGAGTCTATAGACACAAAACAATGTTTTTATTGGTAAAAATGTCTTCACTGGGGAAAAAAACAAAACAAACAAACTTGAGAACGATAATGATTGATGCAGTTAACCAGCCACTTTCTGGCACTCCAAATCTTTCCAGTTGTTGGCAGTCGTACGAGCACTGTTCGCTTTTAGGAATGTTGGACACATCTCTCTCAAGTTCATGTCCAGTTCCCCTCCCCCACCTAACGACCCCCCCAAACCTCCCCACCCTAAAGGATCACCCTCCCCTGCAGCCCAGTCTGCGCCTCGGACAGGCTTTTGTTACGCAGCGGACTTTGCAGTTGAACTTGAGACATCTTGTAAACAATAAGTAGTCTGGCCCCTGTCTGCTTCCCGGGCCCACTGGCCACCTCTGTCCAAAGACGCAGGAAGAGAAGAAATGACTTCACACGAAAGGCCCCCAACGATGCGTGGTGAAATGTTTGTCCACGGCCAAAACTGATCTTTGCGAAAAACAATGCGCTGCCTTGACAGTTACGAGTTTAGGACTGGGTTACGTTGATGGTACTGCGGAAAATATTGATCGCAACTGTGAGTTTTGAGGTTTCGCCAAACGTTTTCAGCTTTTTTGTAAACCACCGTATGTCCTTCACTGCAGCCTGAAGGTTAAACAGAAATATCCACACTCCTTAGTCCACGTTTTCCTATTTCAAAGACGAGAACCTTTAACGTTCTTGGTGATTGTGATGACACTGTGTAACGACAACGTTTTAAATAAGAAATAAATCATTTAAATAAGCTTCTCCAAGAGGCTAATTCGTTTGTCATGAATTTGGTCCGAAGTCAGAAATAAAAGGCAATACACCCCAGCACACAGACAGCTGAATCGAACCAGTTTTGCACTTAATATTGAGGTAAACACCTGCCTCTTTTGAATTCGGGAATATTTAAAGGCAATTTGTAGTGGAAAGAGGTGGTATTAATTGCCATTTTATTTCCCTTAATAAAAAAGCCTGAACTCACACATCTAAAACCGCATTGTAGTTTACACATACATAATGCATCGTGTATGGCAACATATTGAAAATGAAAGAAATGATATTGATTTTGGTGTTAAAATGGTAATATAGTAGGTTTTGTCACAGTGCACGTATTATGGTTAAACTCAACACTAAAGTAAATATCAGGCTCATTCGGACTTTGGAAGAGTTAAGCAGGCATTAATGTTTGAGCTACGTAATATGAATCACAAGCTGTGCTGGCTCGCATCAAAAAATGTGGGCTTCCTCAATCTATAATTTGAAGCAGCGCATAATACTCAAATGTTACACAAACTGTACATTAGATTACAGGCTTTTTAAAGAAATCACCAATAGTCCTGTGCATTATATATGCGGGCTTTGCCGGCCGTCATAGTCCATTCACAATCTAAAATTGGAAGTATTAAATGCTAATGGTATTTGACAGATGTTACAGCTGTAATGTTTGTTTTAGTTCTGCACACTTTCTTTAGACTAATTTTAAGTTTAACGAAATTGGCCAGATAAAGACTAAATCATTGCAAACCTGTTTAAATAAATCAACAAGAAGAAAATTAGGATCTCATTACTGCTAAAGTAGTGATCTTTATCTTCATTTTGATCAAGTACTTAATTGCCAAATCGAGTGACTTTGATGTGCGATTATTTTCTTAAATTTGATTCATTCTCTTTTCAGCAGTTTAAAAATGTGCCCAACACCCACAGCTCTGCAGAATGTGTTTTGCAGCTTTTATACTGGTTAACTTTTCCATTAAGGGTATGTGTCTATTTTTTTTCCTCCCTTGAAGTGATGTCAACAGAGAGCTATTTACAAGCTTCTCTTTATATTCCTTCTGCATTAATGTAGCTCAATGCACGTTCAGTCAATTAGGGTTAAGAGCATTTTAAATATATTGCCTTAGAATAGCTCACCTTTCAATTTAATCAGATTCTGCCTTGCCACAAATGCAGGCTAATGTAGTGTATTTGTAGCAAGCAAGTGATTTTGGATTATTTATACTGGAAATACTAGATCTTTGCATACTGTGAGAGGTGAAATTTGTTGTCATGCTGAGCCTCTGATTTGTGTTTCTTGTGATTTACGAAAGGCAGGAACATG